TAAAAATGTATTTGGTCAATAAAAGGTTTATTTAGGTAATTAAAGTAATTAATAAAAATGTTCTTGCAGCCAGAAGCCCCCTTCACGTTGCACTACGCTCATCAACGAGAGTTTGGCTTCAGTCGATCTTCGGAGATTGCTGCCCGATCCAGTTCATCTCTTCCTGGTTGACAGTCGATGTCTACGCCCCGTGTGCATATATTAGTGATGCTCAGTTTGCTGGCCTGACAAGGCCATAAATTTTGTCGCTTTTGGCTTCACTCGTGTCGAAACAGCCGGTTAGGAACCTTCCGCAGTAAAGTGTCTTCACTGTGATTAGGTAAAAATATGTAAGCTAGCAGTGATTCTACTTAGGTCGTAATTTATCCAAGATTTCAATGTCAATATCATGTCTTTCTTAAGTGAGTGGTTCGCTTGCTGTTATAAATGTATAAAGTAACTTCCATTTTGATTTGTTCGGCTCTGCATACTTGTCTAATTGAATTTTATTTATTTTCTCAGTCTATGAGACGAACTTCTCGTTCATGTAATAATGCTTTGTGTAATTAAAAATTTAATAACATGATGAAGAATTTTGAATGTGCGCTTGCTTGTGGATAGAAGGTCAATTATCTTTCTTTTTTTTTCTTTCTTCAGAAAAGAAAAGAAGTCAATCATACAGTGGAGAATTGAAAACATTCATAAAAGTTCACGAAATTCGGCAAGATCGTGGAATTTTTGCGAAGCGTGATTACTGAAGGACTTGCGTTCGTAATTGGGAAGTCGGAAATTCTTAATTAATCCTTCATAAACTATCAACGCATGGTTCGAACCACTACCGAAATTACATAGAACGCTATAAGGCCGAGGCTGTTTTAGCATATTCTAATATCAGCCTATGTGAGACTGGCTCCGTACCCTTGCTGAAGTGACGAGATGCTCATCAGAGTGATTCTCAACCTTCAACTTTTCCAATCTCACGGCCAACTTTACTTGTAAGCGCTCCGCTGCTACGGCTAGATTCTTTTTTCAACTCTCTCTCTGATGCTGTGCTTAAGGCAAGAATCAGGATTAAATTGATGGGGTGATTCCACTCAAATGTGAAAGTAGGGGTGGGAGGTGGACCGCCAGTGGAGAAAAAAGGAAAGAAAATCCTGAAATACACAGGAAATACGAGCATTTTGCTCTATGCTGTGGAGAAGTTCAAAAGACAGGTGAGAGATAATGTGAGCGCGGAGAGTGGTAGAGAAGTCCGAGAAGAGAGAGCATAGCACGTGGCGACGCAGACAAGATATCGAACGGTGGGCGGACCATGTTAAGTTTGGTGGAGTCTGTTAGAAGTCCATGGCGCCTAGGGTCCTAGTGACGCGTTTCGATGTAGAAAGGTGGCGCTACCTTTGCACTTGCGTACCCAGCACTTCTAGCCATGGTAAGGGCTTCTTAGGTGGGTCTGAGCCCGAACTTTGCCTTTAAGGGTAGTTTTCTCGCGAAATTTGAAATTTTCTTGACTCAGACACAAGACAAGATATTCCGTACGTGGTTTCGATTAGCCGAGCGAAAATTTAGTAACGTGGCCCACATGGGAATGTTGAAACGAGTTCTCAGTTTGGCTCAAATATAATAGCTTCTCCACTGACAACAGCTGTGTGTAAGATAGTTCGCACAGCACAGAGACTGGAGCAGAAGCTTTATTGCTAGGCGCACCTCGGTACCTCTGTCGATAAACTGAACCTTACTCCACTCTGGGAAGGTTCTATGAGAAGGATAAGATATGTATCATTCATTAGATCACTGATGATGCGCTTTATCGCTACTTCTTTCTTATCTTCATATCGGCAACACGTTCTACCATGTGCTCCACAGTTTTTTCTTCATCACTTGATACTTCATCACAAAACTAAACACTTTTATTTAACAAAGAACAAATGACCAAAGAATAACTTAGAAGTAAAATCGCGGAGGTAGGCCTGCATTGGGTCATTTCCGCGATAGAAAACCCATCTTTTCCGGCTAGTTCTGACTATCGAAGGGAAGCATTGTATTCTACAGACTATCCTTGTACTTAGCCCAACCCACATTTCGCTGGATACCTAGAACTGGGGAATCGCCGAATGGTCGGACACATCTTCATCCATGACAATACTTCCACTATTTCTGACTGTTGGAATCTTATACTCAAAATGAGGTTTCCTGTTTGACAAAACACTTCACAGGGTCCACAACATCATTTTTAAGATCAAATCGTGCTCGAAGTT